TGGTATGCAGTTCTCTTGTTTTGTCACTAAAAAGACCTAGACTGCCAATCTCTACATCAAAGAATGCTTCCAAAAAAGACTTTTGCCTTTTACAAAAAAACACAAATACTGATGTCTCTTTTGGCCCGATTTTGCTGCCTCTCACAATTCTAAAAAAGTTCTACTGTGGTGCAAAGACAATAATGTGAAAATTGTTTCTAAAGATGCGAATCCTCCAAATCGTCCTGAAGTGCGCAAGATTGAAGATTTTAGGGCAATAGTTAAAGGAGTACTTTGTAAGACAGGTGGAGTTAGAAACAATAAAAAGGACTTCCAAAAAAAGTGGATTAATGCCACCAATATGGTGAAAAAAGAAAAAATCTATGAAATGATGGCATCAACCTGCTAAAAAGTTTGATTTCTTGCCAAACAACCCATCAAACCCCTAAAATTAAGTTGAAAATCTAATTAATGTAAACACTAATAATAAAAAAATTGAAATAAAAAGCGTTTATGGTTTTATAAAAATCTCAATTTAAAGTTGACCGAATTTTTCCGTGTCCACCCAATGTTTTCACAACTTAATTAAATAAACAATTAAATACGCCTTCATTTAAGGTTTTGTTCAAATTATATATGGTATATATAAATTAACAAACCAATATATATGGTATATGATTTGTTCAATATTATAAACAACATTTTTTTTTTTTTTTTTGGAAGACAAAAAATCTGAAAATTTTGAGAAGTAATGCCGATTCTATATGCTTTAAAGTAAATATTAAACAATTTTTAAATGAAACTCTGTTACAACAACTCATTTTCAATAAAAAGTGGATGTTGAGCAAGCATATTTTAAAATGAAACTATGTTACAACAACTCATTTTCAGTAAAAAGTGGATGTTGAACAAACCAATTCTCAGTTGACGGTTTAGACGTACTTTTAAAAATTCTTTATAAAATAATTATATGAGTTCAGACGCATAAGATCCAGCATGCACAAGCTGTAAATTGAAAATATAGTTAATGATTATTTTGAAGCTAAAGATCGATTAGCATTACTTGTAAATAGTTGTATATGTATAAAGTCGTATTTGTGTATAATATAAAAACATAATTAAAAATATTAAAAGAATTTGTTATTAAATTATGTTGAATTCCATTAAGATACATGAGGCGTTTTACGCTTCACTCATGAAATTCTTTTTAATGTGAAACAACTTGCTATTTCGGCGAAAATGTCGACTAAAATCGATTTAAAGTTAATTACGGAGTTTAGTGGAAACGATCAACAATCAGTTGCAGAATGGCTAGAAATATTTGAACTGGTATGCAAACTAATTGGTGTAACCAATCTGGCAAATCTTGTTCCCCTCCGTTTGCAATTGGTGCATTTGCAGTATATCAACAGTTAGCAGAAACTGATAAAGAAGATTTTGAACGATGTTAATGCATTACAGCTTAAGAACAGTTCATTACGAGAAAGTTTAAGCATGGAGCGGCAGTTGATGTTTGTTTGGCAGAACCGCAAAGATTATCTGCGTAATTGGTGGGCTACCAGACAGAGCAATTGCATGTGCTTGTGTTTCTGGACTGAGGAAGTTCGACGGATGCTGAGATTAAGATCTCGTATGGATAATCTTACAACTACACAAATATTTGAGCGAGCAAGTACATTCATGGTTGAAGAACGAAACGATGAAACAAACCAAAATTTTGCTGCTGCTGCAACAAGAAGATGTGATGAGCCAAGGTTGCTTGAAAATCAAAAACAATCTGTTTACTATAAGTGTAAACTCCCCAATCATTTTGCAGAAAATAGTCATCGACGAAGAAATAGTAATTGAAACAAGTCAGGTTGAAGACGTTAGACAAACAATGTCTTGTGTTACTCGTGTCAAGAGTACGGACACATATCAAAAATATGACAAAAAAACGTACCGAGGGAGAAGATCTTTGCGCCAGCTCTCTACCTAAACAATCAGTAATGACGTTACTTACTATGCGCTTGGACATTAACGGCGTTCTTCGAAATGTGTTGATTGACTTTCGATGTACCTGCTGCATCATTTATAAACAATGTGCCACAAAAATTACTAAGAAAGAAGTTAGCGTGGTAACTGTAAAAGAACAACAATAACAGTGCGAAGGCGTTAGCCAAACTTAAATTTTCACACCAAATGGGAATGAACTTTTTATGGAAGTACTTGTAGTTGACGTCAAACCACTTGGTTATTGTTTCTTGTGGTTATGAATGAAATAGTAGCTTTTTGTGGAGTACCAATACCTGCAACTCGTGATGTTTTTTTAATAGAATAAAACGAATCGTGTTTATTTGGACTAAGAAGTGATATTCCAAAAAGTGTCAGTAATATGAATATAGTAATATGAATAATAATATGAATAGCTTGGGATTTCACAGCTTTGTTTGAAAAACAAAATTGAGAATGGATAATTGCGTGGAAATGGAGTAATAATTCATAACCTGAAACAAGACTGCTGAATACACTATCCCTGTTTGCATAAAACACGGTTACAAAAAAGAAATTGAAGGGTGGATAGAGAAAAAAATGGCTGCAAAAGTACAATTTTATAAAACACTATCCAATAAAGGGTTTTAATTTCAATAATGGGTTCCTCTCATGGCAGTGGTGCAGCGAAATAAAGGAAAAGTACGACCAATATTAGACTTCAGGGAGCTGAACACGTTTATTCAAGCATTCTCACTGCAAACACAGATGCGTGTGCTAACAAACTTTGAGACTGGAGACGGTTTGAAGAAAACGTTTTAATAATTGATTTATCTTCAGCTTAGGTGCAACTAAATTTAGACGTGAAACTCTGGGCTTACCAAACTATTGTGTTCCTAGGACAAAGATTTTATTTAACACGTTTGGGTTTAGTCTCGAACTAAACGTTGCGCAAGTCATAATGAAAGCGGTGTTGGTCAAAGTGCTTAGGACGAAACAATCTGGAAAGAAACTTCATCATGCATTAATGATATTTCTGTGAATGAAAACATAATACCCGTTTGTCGCGTACTTGATCATATGGAAATTTTAAGAAAAAATGTAGGCCGGTGGTCCGCGTATCCGAAGGAGCAAGACTTCTTGGTTTTTATGTTGGAATAGAAAATAAAAAGTTTTGCTGGAAGAGAAATTAATTTTGGTGAAATTCCAAATTCACTAACAAGACGTAACATTTTCTTTGTGAGGAAAAAAAGATAGGAAATCTTTCTGTTTGTGGTTGGTTGCGTGTAGCTTTGTCGTATATTTAAAAAACAGCATACGCCCTGACAAAAAATGGGATGAAAAAATTAAATGCATTATTCTGTAAAAATACTGAATGATATGGTTAAAAAAACTCGTAATGACAATCCTGCAAAGAAAATTTAGAGTGTTTTAATGAGCTGCCGTGGCGCAGTGGATAGAGTTCTGGCTCAGAACCCAGAGGTCCGAAGTTCGACAATGGCATCGACTTGGCATGGGTATAACTAATTATGAGAGGCAGCGCTATTTTGGTCTAATCGACTGTGGACCTACACGGTATGTAATATGGTGCTATCTTAAAGATCAAACCAGTGCATGTGTTATTTAAGAATTAAACGCGATTTTTTAAACCAGGAGTTCCGCATGAAATACTAACGAACAATGATACAGCATTTCGAAGCATATTGTTTTCGCAATTCGAAAATAAATGGAACGTTAAACTTTAGTTTAGGTGCGTTTGTGTACCTTCTGGAAATGAAATTGCAGAACGATGTCATTGAACTGTCAAAGGAACGGCGAAGAGAGCTCCGTGCAGCATAATCGAGGCAGTTTATTGGTATACCGTTAGTCTAAAAGATAGTTGTAAATTTTATACTGCACCTGCAAATAAGTTTTATCAAAACAAAATTAGAGTAAGAGGATTTAACAACAATTAAAACGCACATGATCCTTGTAAGAAGATAACCAATAACTTTAAACTTAGCGATTTCGTCTGGGTTAAACCCCCGGGTAACCAATGCGACTCTCAATACAAGATTGGAATAACTAGAGGGGTAATCTCGGAATAAACGTTAGAAATGGACAAAATGTGTCGACATGTACGACACCCAAGACAAGTAAGAGTTGACAAAGATTTGAATGAAGTGTTAAGTGTAAATATAGTTTATGATTATTTTAAAGCTAACGATCGATTAGCTTTACTTTTAAATAGTTGTATATGTAAAAAGTATTTGCGTGTAATAAAGACATTGTAAATATCAAGAGAATTAGTTTGTATATGAATTATGTTGCTTTGTATTAAGATACATGAGGTGTTTTACGCTTAACTTAAAGTTCTTTTTAATGTGAAACAACACAAGCAGAATAAATAATTCCTAATTTCGCAGTTTAAATTTAATAAAAGAAAGTTCTTTAGCCATTAGAAGTCTTTGTTGGTCAAAAAGTGTTTTAATAATGAGTTTGGCAAAATTTCATCAACTCTTTCTGAACTATCTAGCGCAAAAAAATATGGAAGACGAGGTACATTGTTTTAAAAAAATACCTATTTTATCTTTTTGACACGTTTTTTTTGTACCAATAATTTTAAAAAAAGGTAATCATATCATTATGTTTTTTAGATCAAATATATTATGGCTTATTAAAATAGACATAAGTGCAAACATAGTCTTCATTTTTTTATATCTATGTCTGCTATACACTTGTCCGATAAGATAAAAAGTGAGCATAGCATACTATGTGCCACATTTGTGAGAAGAAAATTCAAGATTAAACAAAAGGAAAAAGAAAGAATAATTTTTATATCAATTACGAATAAAATATAATTTATACAACTAGTAAAGAATAAAATATAATTTATACAATAAAATTATTTAAAAAGAATACAAAGTAATGATATGGGTTACAAAATAATACATTTTCAGAATAATTTATAAAAATATATTGAGGTTTATATAAATATATATATATATATATATATATTATATATATATATATATATATATATATATATATATATATATATATATATATATATATATATATATATATATATATATATATATTTAGACACTAATAACGCTTTTGATATGAGTCTTTGATAATGTGTTCTTGGAGCGAATTCTTTCCCTAAAAATATTTTTGAGAACTTCGATATTTTTGATCGTAGAAAATGTTTTTAAAAAAATGTTAAAACAATAAAATTCTTACATTAGAAAAATATCGCGCGAAGCATCCCATCTTTTAGTATTCGATATGAAAACACTTCGGTTGCCGTTGCTGTTTTTGTTATGTCTACAAACTTCATACCTGCCTGGTCCAACCGTACCCTAGTAAATATTATGGTGCTTTTATTTAAAAAGACAAATAGTTGATTCAATATACTTATGCTAAATGGACGCGATCACTCCATGATTGCAATCTATTTGTAAAAACCAATTAAATAATCTAATATAAGCAACTACACAACTTTTAGCTTTGTTTTGTTTAGTAAATTTGTTGTTTTAAGTTTCCAGTAGAAGCTTTAAATTTAATACTTTGCATTACCCCATTTAATGTAATAATATTGCTTTAATATTTCTAGGCTAATCTATAAAAAAGGTAAACTATTAAAACAAATTCAAAATGGTTGAACCAGTTTTTTTTTTTTTTTTTTTTTGAAGTGACTTAAACTTCAACTAAAAATGGTTAAAGTTTAAGTCACTCAGTATATTCTAATTTAAATAAAAACCCGTTTACATTTAAATTTTTATGATTTTCTATGAAAAACGTGTTCATTTATTAAAATATTGTTTTACAAAAAAACTTACGTAATTTCCTAATAAAAGACTTTCAGCATTCTTATCGACCCTTGACGCTGATGATCCAAATGCAGGTCGGCTACAATAAACAAGCTGTCTTTCATCACGAGGATCATAACTACCTGGACCGGGTTCATTCTATACAAAATATTAAAATTTTTGTTAACAATACAAAAAAGAGCTTTATAATAGTAAATTTTGGCAGACGTTTACACAGCTTACACGTTTACACAGTCTTTTTTCGCTTCTTGTTTCTATTGTTTATTTTTTTTTAAATACATTATTTATATCACATTACTCTTTTATTATTAATTTCATTATTTATAGATATTAATTTCATTATTTATAGACATTTTTTATAAGATTATAGTGTATGATAGCATGAATATCAGTTGTGATTGTCAACCACCGTCTACCTCAAGATATACAAATGATCTGTCAACTTATACTGCAATTAGAAGGAGCATAAGCAAGTCAAAGCTATTTGTTGACACTAAAAAATTCAGCTCAACACTCATGCGATGACTTAACTTTCAAAATGTGAAATGGTTTAATAATGGTACCGTGTAACTAGCCCTGAAAATAACCCGTTTGAAAAATTTATTGATATGCTCGACGACAGTTTCCTTACTCAACTTGTTGACTTCCACATTCATACAAGCAAATGAACAATGTAAAACCACTCTTGACTATGTGATATGTGACGATGTAAATCAAATAAAAAATTTACAATCGGACTCGTCACAAATCGACGACAGCAAGTCGTTCTAGACAACACACTTTCGGGATGGGCACCAGTGTCTAGCGGTGTTGCCCAAAGATCCGTGCTAGGACCAATTCTATTTGCCATCTTTATTAATGACCTCCCAGACAACATTAATTCTTGCTGCAAAATGTTTGCGGACAACACCAAATTAATAGCACCAATCCGGCCAGGAAACAAAAGCACTAAAAGCCTGCAAGATGACATCAACAAGATAAGTGCTGCACTTGGCAAATGCAACTAAATCTTAGTAAATCAAAAGTGATGCACATTGGATGAGCAAACAAATCAGCAACATACACTATGCTAGATCCACTATCAGGCGCAAAAAGAAATCTAACAACAACGATGATAGAAATAGACCTTGGAGTCACAATAAGTCAAGATCTTAAGGCAGAAAAACAAGTCAATAAAGCCTCATTAATCGCAATTAAATTTCTTGGACTGCTAATAAATACGTTTATATTGCAAGATCCTTCACTATGGAAAAAACTCTAAACAACATATGTCAGACCATTTGGAATATGCAGTATGCACTTGGTCAACAATAACAAAAAAGGACCAAAAAACACTTGAAAAAGTTCAGCAACGAGCCACCAAGATTGGACATGCAATGAGACAACATAGCTATGAAGAAAGGCTAATCAAACTCAACCTAACTAGTCTAACTTTGTGTCGACAAAGGGGCGACCTCATTCAACAATTTAAAATAATAAAAGGAACCAATAAAGTGAAATGGTGTGTACCAACAATCACAAGAGAGCCAAGAGCTGGTCGTAGAGAACAATTGAACAAAGAATTAGTCCATAACAGCACACTGTGAAGCAATTTCTTCACTAACAGAATCATGAATTGTTTGAACTCGCTATCTGACGATACATTGAACGCAGAAACAGTCAATGCATTCAAGAACCGGCTGGACAACCTCCAGCATAGTTGCTACAGTGGCTTATCTTTGGATGGGTTACTTCGTGTGAGCCAATAAGCTCGCATTGCAACTTATTATAACTAACTATAATGATATTTAAATTCTAACAACATATTTCTTTTAATTATATTACTTTCAATCAAGAATAAGACTGTGACAAAAGTAAATAGATAATAAATTAAAAATATATGAAATGTAAAATATAATAAATAACTGCGAAAATAACATGTTAAAAAATGCATATAAAAATAATTACAGCATTTCGAGGCCATTGGGAAAGAGTTTTGCAGTAGATGCGCTCTGTTGGTACAGTTGGCATTCGTTGGACTTTAGAAAACTTGCCATGCGTTTTTTTGTGATCATCTATAAAGATAAAAAATTTCAGTAAAGACACAAGCTAGAAAATGTATTAAACAGTATGTGGTATTAATTCCAAAGATTTTTAAATCAATGAAAGTTCAAAAATATTAGAACAACATATCATAAGAAGTTTGAATCATCAAAAACAAAAATATTTAATTAGTTATTTGCATCAGAATTTTAAATCACTAGAAACATTAGAATTATACTATTATTTTCTTAATTCTAACCAGGATCAAGAAAACTTTTGCATTTATACATTCCAGGCTCCATTTGGCTATTAATCTGAAAATAAAGTAAAAATGTAAAAAAGATTATAATAACATGAGAAGAAAACTTTGAACAATGTAATGATTAGTATCTTACTTACATGAGCAGAAAAGCGTCCAACAGAAATTAAAGCATTTCGATCTCCAGTAAATAGGTCATAAGGACCACGCTTACTGACTAAGCGTTCTCTCAATTCATCTGTAAAACTTTTGTAGTTGTATTGTCCAGGACATAAACCAGACCCCTAAAAAAATTTGAAATATGACTTTATAACTGTACCAAGTTGAAAAATGCTATATATACACACATATGTTCAGTTCCAAATTTCCAACAGAACCTATTGACTCACTTGTTTTTTATTATACTATAGTAAAGAAATTTAATAAATAAAATTTTAATGTATCTTTATGTTAAGAGATTTCAAGTTATGGTTAAATTGCTAAAGTGAAAATTTAACTAAACTATTTCAGTAGCACAGCGCTTCCCAGATGCAGCAGAATCAAGTATACCAATTATACCAGGTGATTTTTTTTCTTTTTCTTCCATAGCAGCATGAGGAATTCCACCTATTCCATATGTTCCTGGTCCTGGAACTGTGTTCTAAAATGAATAAATATTTGTTTAACATTTAAAACATTTTTTTGATTCCTTGAACAAACATGCATAATTGTTTGTATAAATTAGAAAAATAAATAGCAATAGCAATCATAAAGACATAAAAAAAAACATTTTAAATATGTATGCATATACAACCCTCGGAATTAGGAAAAATAAAACCTCAAAACTGTTAGAGATTGGCATCAGGTCGGCATCAGATCGGGATTACCATAAAACATAGAAATGAGGTTGGCGATTTTTTGCCGACCTCAAACACTTTGAGGTAGGCAGTTAGATCAGCATTGCCGAATGCCCACCTTAATTCTGAGGATTGCATATACAGTCTTATCATCAGGCTTTTAAACCGAAAAGAAGGCATACATATTTTATTTTTATTAGAAGACTGATGTTCTGAAAATACTTTGAATCAGATTGAAATTTTTATTATTCTTATATTTTTATAAAAAAATAAGTAGGACACTAAGTGTGGTTTTCAGTGTATCATTGAAAATAAATTAGTTAATTCAATCCAGGTAAAGTTTCGAATATCGAATACTATAATAAGCGTACTTAGATTCTAGATTCTTAGATAATCTACTGAACATCTGGATTCTTGGTATGCTGTGTAGACTCCTACTTTTTCTTTATCAAAGAAATAAAAAGTAGTTTCCTAGCCTCAATCCAATGATTGTAAATGTAATTAATATTTCAGTATATTACCAGCAGTAATTGTCATTTACAGTATTTAAAGTTTCATAATATTGTTATTTGTCTTACTCATTGTCAACTGGTTAGTCAAATATTTTACGCTATTCCATTTTAGAAACCAATAAAATTTTAATTTGATAAGTTTGAATACCATATTTTACTCCTTTTTAAAGTCTTTAAAAGAATAAAAATAGATATTTTACATCTCTACTAAAGTAAAAAATCAAATTGCAAAACCCTTTGTTTTAGTACTTTATAGAGATTTACCATTTACAATGAAGAAATACATTTGTGTAATAGTAAAAAATTTAACAGTTTTTGCAAATAAAACTTCGAAAGTATATGATTTTATAACCTTTTTTTTTTTTTGCTAACTATTAAAACCATTTAGCTTTTTATAAAATGATTTTTTCACTAAAACTTAGAAAGCTATTTTAATTTAAATAGCATCAAGTCAACACCTTTATTATTCAACATTATAATCAACACCTTTATATGAAGTAATTATGAATTACCTAAAAAAAACACTTTTATTGGGTGTTTATATGAAGTAAAGATGAATTACCTTAAAACCAACACCTTTATTGTGCATTTATATGAAGTAATAATAAATTACCTCAAATTCAACACCTTTTTTGGGTATTTATAATAAATAATGATGTATCTCAATACCAACAATTAAGGGGTATTTATAATAAGTAATGATGTACCTCGATATCATCAATTAAGTTCAAACACAACATCTTTATTGGGTATTTACGAATAAATGCAGAAAAAGCATAAAATGCCACTGATGGTAAAATAACCATTATAGCTTTATAAAATATTGTGTAATAATATTTTCAATTATAACTATTTTTTTAATTAAAATAATAATAAATATATTATAAATATATTTAACAATACTTACTGCTTTTATATAGTATTATGTAATAGTATTGTATCACATGATATAAATTTTTTTAAAGTTTTTGAATAGAAAAGTGTCAAAATGTTTAAATGAAACACTAAAATGCTAAAACATTTGACTCAAGTTAGAATAAATCTTTTTTAAAAAGATTCAACTTGGTGTTCAATAAGAAAACAACCTACACTTTGCTTTATTCTCTAAACATTTGAACCATACAGTTTGCTTGTCATGTGAGGCCACTAAAGTCAAGGAGACTACTTATTATTTTTTTTTTTTAATTATTGCTATAACTTTCATTTATCCCATTAGATCTGCAACATGATACTTTATGAATAAAGTTGTTTTGTGAAGAAACAAAATGAGCACAGTTCAACCATGGATGTGGTACTTTTCTTTCCTCCCAAAGTAATTTATAAGATTTGAAAAACTCAATACTTCTGGCTGCTAATTTTTTTTTTTTAAATACAACAATACAAGAGAAAATTCATTAAAACACTGAATATGGTTTAGTGCTTTTGCATTTGAAATGTTGAGTGTAATGAATTTTGTTAAAAACATCATTTAATTTTTTTGTTATAAAGATATGCATGTATAATGCAAAGTTATTTAAAATTTTAACATAAAAACTAACTAAAAACAACCTTCAAAAAAATTATCCAACTTAATACATAAATAAAATAAATTTCTGTTAACCAATCATTTAGACTGTTTTAAATCTTCATTAAGCTCTAAAGAAAAATATGTGAAATAAAAAAAATTTGGAATACATAAATTATGAGATTTTTCAGAAGTATGTTAGTTATTCTGCCAGTATCATAAGATTTACTAGGTTTTAGATTGATTAAAGTTGAATAAACTGTCTCAACAGAAAAGTTAACATCTTCAATGTTTATAGAGTCGTTACGAATTAATAATAATTATCTCCATGATCTTGTTAAGTTTTAAAATTGTCTTTTTGTGTTTGACTTTCTCCAAATAAACAACCAAACTCTTTTTTAAATATTTTTATTAAAAAAGTATATATTAAAATAGTATAAAAGTTGTCCTCAATGGACAGCACTCTTCTTCTTATTCTGTAAACTCAGGGGTTCCTCAAGGTTCAATCCTTGGCCCTATACTCTTTTTAATTTACATTAACAATCTTCCAGATATTCTCACATCTAAGGTAGCATTGTTCGCTGATGATACTACCATTTATTCTTGTCATAAGAAGCCAACTCCCTCTGATTGCTTGCAGGGGGCATCTGAGCTTGGAAAGAATCTCACTTCTGCTACAGCATGGGGCTCACAGTGGCTGGTGAACTTTAATTCAGATAAAACTTAATTTTTTTCAGCCAATCGTTATCGCAATAATTTAGACCTTCCTATATTTATAAACGGTAATGTACTCAATGAGTCTCCTACCCTTCATCGTCTAGGATTAACTCTTACTTCTGATCTTTCTTGGAAACTTTATCTCAAATCCGTTGCAAAATTAGCATCTGCTTAAGTCCCTTCTCTTTATCGAGTTCGTCACTTTCTTACTCTGGATTCTATTCTCTATCTCTATAAATCTCAAATCCGGCCTTGTATGGAATACTGTTGCCATATCTGAGGTGGATCTTCTAATGATGCCCTTTCTCTTGTAGACAAGGTGCCCTTTCTCTTGTAGACAATGGCACAAAAGACGCTAGCTCTAAAGAGCTAGCGTCTCTTGTGCCATCTACAAAAATTCATTCTCGTGTTACTCATCATTTAATTAAGTCTCATCCTTTTTCTGTTACTGTTCCTAAGTACTCCAAAAACTCTTATTCGTCTTGTTTTTTTCCTCGAACATCAGTTCTTTGGAATTTGCTTCCTTCATCTTGCTTTCCTGATTCATATAATTTGCAATCTTTTAAGTTGTCTGTCAATCGTTATCTTGCTCTACAATCTTCATCTTTTCTCTTCCAGTAACTTCCAACACTAATTAGTGGTTGCTTGCAGCCTTTTTAGAAGCGAAGATGTTAAAAAAAAAAAAAAAAAAAAAAAAAATGAAATTCATGATCATCACACAAAGAATCAAGATAATAGTAAGCTATACTATTCTTTTTTCAACACAATTAAACATGGTAAGTTTTCCATAAAACAACAATGTATTTCCCAATGGAGCTAGTGTATTCCTGCATTAACAAAAAAGTTTAAAAAAAAAGTATCCCTTTGTTATGAGTTATTTACTGCTCAACAGAATTAAATTTAAAAAACTATTTTTAGAGTGTATTTCTTTATAATTTCTCTCTGTACTGTAGTGTCTTCGATATATAATTTCTTTAACAAAGAAGTGGTTTGAGTTTTCCTTTATTTATTATCTATTTATATTATATTTATTTATTATTGTTTTATTATTACTGCATTTTATGTTATTATTATATTAAATTATTATCTATGATATGTACATACAATTTATATTGTATTATAATTATTCTTAATATTATTGATACTTTATTATTATTGTTATTATTTTTTATTATTACTATAATTATTACATATATCATTGTTATTTGTTTAACAATATTTTCTTTTTTTCTCTTGTATATATATATATATATATATATATATATATATATATATATATATATATATATATATATATATATATATATATATATATACGATAAATCAATCTTGATAATATCAAACCTAAAATCTAACATCTAATCTAACAACTAAAATAATGCCATGTTCACTTTTTTTAGTACATAAAACATCAAAAAATTTTAGTACATAAAACATTAAAAAATGCTATTTAGAGGTTATAAAAAACATATTTCTGACATTTTTAACAATAGTAGCGCTCTCCATATCTTGTGATAACCTTGTAAATAAAATTTGGCCACATTTTACAATGATTAAAGGGAAGCTTATTTTTT